TTGGGGCTCCCAGGCGCTCCAGAGGGACCCCCGGAATCGCCACGGAACGTCCCTGGGGAGCCCGGAAGCGCCCTGGGGCATGGGAGGAGCGCCCTTTTGGGCATGGGCGGCGGCTAATTCACCGTGAGGGGCGCTTGGGGCTCCCAGGCGCTCCAGAGGGACCCCCGAATCGCCACGGAACGTCCCTGGGGAGCCCGGAAGCGCCCTGGGGCATGGGCGGCGGCTAATTCACCGTGAGGGGCGCTTGGGGCTCCCAGGAGCTCCGGAGTGCCTTCCGAATCGCCAAGGAACGTCCCAGGGGAGCCCAGGAGCGCCCTTGGGCATGGGCGGCGGCTAATTCACCGTGAGGGGCGTTTGGGGCTCCCAGGCGCTCCAGAGGGACTTCCGAATCGCCACGGAACGTCCCTGGGGAGCCCAGGAGCGCCCTTGGGCTAGGGGCGGGGCTAATTCACCGTGAGGGGCGTTTGGGGCTCCCAGGCGCTCCAGAGGGACCCCCGAATCGCCACGGAACGTCCCTGGGGAGCCCAGGAGCGCCCTTTGGCATGGGCGGCGGCAAATTCATCGTGAGGGGCGCTTGGGGCTCCCAGGCGCTCCAGAAGGACACCCGAATCGCCACGGAACGTCCCTGGGGAGCACGGGAGCGCCCTGGTTCATGGGCGGCGGCTAATTCACCGTGAGGGGCGCTTGGGGCTCCCAGGAGCTCCGGAGTGCCTTCCGAATCGCCCCAGAACGCCCCAGGGGAGCCTAGGAGCGCCCTGGGGCATGGGCGGCGGCTAATTCACCGTGAGGGGCGCTTGGGGCTCCCAGGCGCTCCAGAGGGACCCCCGAATCGCCACAGAACGTTTCTGGGGAGCCCGGGAGCGCCCTGGGGCATGGGCGACGGCTAATTCACCGTGAGGGGCGCTCGGGGCTCTCAGGAGCTCCGAAGGTTTCCCCGAGTCGCCAGGAAACGTCTTTTGCAAGCCAGCCGATCGCGAGGTCCACGCTGGAAAACTTTAGGATTCGAGGTCGAAAAAAAAATTGCCAGTGGCAATCCGTGTCTTTTACCGATTTTATGTAGGCGCCTCAGGAGGAGCCAGGGCGCCCCTCACGGTGAATTCGGTTGATGTTTTGGGGTTATAAGTCTCTTTGACGATCGCCCAGGCGGGCACAGGATAATCGCTTGCGCGTAAGCCGCATCATTGATAATGAGATAAGGCCCTCGCGGGCCCTGCCTGACGGCAACCGAGACTCAACTGGCTGGTCCTGTGAATTCACGTACGGCCGTGAGGTAGTCTGACTGCGAGGTGCCAGTTAGGGCGCTTGCCGCCTAAATGGGTGGGTGGATACGGGCCAAGCGGCCCTGGGCGAGTTTAGGGTTTAGGGTTTAGGGTTTAGGGTTTAGGGTTTAGGGTTTAGGGTTTAGGGTTTAGGGTTTAGGGTTTAGGGTTTAGGGTTTAGGGTTTAGGGTTTAGGGTTTAGGGTTTTAGGGTTAGGGGTTAGGGTCAGGGTTAGGGTTAGGGGGTTAGGGTTAGGGTAGGGTTTAGGGTTAGGGTTTAGGGTTAGGGTTAGGGTTTAGGGTTAGGGGTATGGTTTGTGTTGAGGGTTAAGGTTTAGGGTTAGGGTGAGGGTGAGGGTTTAGGGTTAGGGTTCGGGTTCGGGTTTAGGGTTAAGGTTTAGGGTTCAGGGTTTAGGGTTAGGGTTAAGGTTTAGGGTTAGGTCATAGGGTTTAGGGTTACGGTTAAGGTTTAGGGTTGCGGTTAGGGCTAGAGTTTAGGGTTAGGGTTAGGGTTAAGGATTAGGGTGTAGGGGTTAGGGTTAGGGTTAGGGTTTAGGGTCAGGGTTTAGGGTGTAGGGTTTTGGGGGTTAGGGTTTCGGGTTAGGGTGAGGGGTTAGGGTTAGGGTTTAGAGTTTAGGGCTAGGGTTTAGGGTTTAGGGTCAGGGTTGGGGTTGAGGTTAGGGTTTAGGGTTAGGGTTAGGGTTTAGGGTTTAGTGTGAGGGGTAGGGTTGGGGTTAGGGTGTAGGGATAGGGTTGAGGGTTAGGGTTAAGGGTTTAGGTTTAGAGCTTAGGTTAGGGCTAGGCTTAGTGTTAGGGTTTGGGGTCAGGGTTAGGTCTACGGTTAGGGTTTAGGCTTCGGGTTAGGGATTAAGGATTAGGGTTCAGGGTTTGGGTTAGAGGTTAGGGGTTCGGGGGGGTCGGGGCGGGAGTGGTGGGGATGGGGTTCCGGAGCCGGGGCGCGAGCCGGGGAAAGGGGGGGAGGGGGGGGGGGGGGGTTCGCCGACGACGGTTTCGGGAAAGGGGGGGGGGGGGGGGGGGGGGTTCGCCGACGACGGCTCGGGCAAGGGGGGGGGGGGGGGGGGGGGGGGTTCGCGACGACGGCTCGGCAAGGGGGGGAGGGGGGGGGGGGGGGTTCGCCGACCACGGCTCGGGCAAGGGGGGGGGGGGGGGGGGGGGGTTTCCGAACCCCCCCCCCCCCCTTTGGGTGATCCAGCGGCGCGCCCTCGGGAAATGGGACGAAGAGACACGTACGTATAGTGAAACAAAGCGGGCAACCAGGATTAACAGAGAGATCTCTGGGAGCAAAGGGGTGGCATTGGAGGACCTCTTCAGGCCATCCCTGGGGCCCGCGGGGGGGCGAGGAGAGGAGGAGGAGGAATACGAGGAGGAGGAGGAGGAGGAGGAGGAGGAGGAGGAGGAGGAGGAGGGGGAGGAGGAGCAGGAGGAGGCAAACCCCCTCATGGGTCCTCGTGGACACTCTTGGGCCGCTCTTGGGGCCGTCTTCGGGTCCTCTGGGGGCGGCTCTCTTGAGAACCCTGAAGGGCAGCTGGAGGCCATCTTGGAGGCTATCGATCAAAGAAGGGGGGGTCCTCTATTTGGCCCCTTCCCTGGGGCCATCAAAGCCTCTTTGCCGGCGGGCCTTAACGCCAGCAGCGTCCGGCGGGGGGCCCCCATGGACCAAGCCCCCCGCGCCTCTTGGCATCCGCCCCGTTTTCCATCGGTGACCCATTCCAATCGCTGAAAAAGGGGGCATCGCGTTCCTGGGGGTGGCTCGGGCCTCTGCGCTACAGGGCCCCCGTCGCCGCCACCCGCAAGAGAGGTATACCTGCCCCCCCCCTTTTTTATCGCCATCGCAACGTTGCATATGGCTATTCGAGGATACGCCTCCGTGTGCCAACACGACTGTGTATCCTCTCGATCTGCCCGATGCCTGTGGCCATTTGGGCTCAGGCGCCCGGCCGATTTTGAACAACCCGCCTACCACCCTGGGGCATCAGGCTTCCGGGTGGCCCAGAGCCCTGCGCTGCAGGACCCCCATCTCCGCCATCCGTTATTGGCGTCAATGCCACTCCCCTTTTTTCACCCCCACCGCACCGGTGATCAGGCAATTCGAGCATACATTTCTATATCCAAACCCATTGCGTTTTGGATTATCTGGGAAGTGTTGCCAACAAGCCGAGGCGCAGTGGATACGAGTAAAAGTGTAGCATCTGAGGATACGACTTTTATCCATATCCACTGTGCCCCTGGATTCCGGTGGAGGGATCCCCGCTTTTGCGGTTCTCCAAGCCTCATACAGCGGTCGTGCTGGCGTAAGTTGTGGCACCACCATTGATTTGCTGCTTCCAGACGCGTCGAGATCGCACCACTGGCTGCCAGAGACGTGCCTGGTCCATCTCTAGTTGGTGTGATACCGAATGTTGTCGCCCAGGCCGTTCCTCATTGTCGGCAGCACGTGCGCTTTATCCTGAGCCTATGCCGCGCGTTCCATACTTGTCTTCGTCTTCGAGGGACCGACAAGCTGGGATTTCATCCCCAGCGGAAGGTGGCGGAAGGTCGGCTGAAGCTGGCGGGTGCAGTAAAGAACGCACCTTCAAGAGATGACATCTTGTGCAGCTCAGGATTTCAGGAAAAGGTGGTGGTTGGGATGTACGTGTTGTCCTCTCTTGGCGCCGTGGTACGCAAAACTCGGGGGCTGCCAAAAAGGTTTCCTGCCACCCAGGTTTCAGAGAAGGCGGGGACACTTTGGCCAGTACCGACTGAACACAGCTTGAGGCATTCGCACATTGAGGGTGGACAACTATGGTACCCCTCTGCGCGTAGCTAATGTACGTTTTCTTGATGGAGTTGCAGGCGCTGCCTCAGCCACCGTCCTGGCAGGCTCCATGGTGCAATTAGGATGCTGATGGCTGTGTCGCAATTGCTTTGAACGCTAAGATCATGGTGACGCAGACAGCTCTGGACAACAGGGATTACGATTAGTTGTATCTGCGATCAGCGTCGGTTCCCAGACTCACATTCTGTTGCGGCAGGGCTTGTATTGGAGTTGATCATGACGCTGTGCTGTGCTAGCTGTCCCATGACGTTCCATGGTACGCGAGTCGTCTGCCATGCCATGCTATGGGAGTTTCAGGCTGATGCTATCAGAAAAAATCGAAGGCCCTGCGCAGTTGGTCGCAGGAGGAGGAGGAGGAGGAGGAGGAGGAGGAGGAGGAGGAGGAGGAGGAGGAGGAGGAGGAGGAGGAGGAGGAGGAGGAGGAGGAGGAGGAGGGAGGAGGAGGAGGAGGAGGAGGAGGAGGAGGAGGAGGAGGAGGAGGAGAGGAGGAGGGAGGAGGAGGAGGAGGAGGAGGATGGAGGAGGAGGAGGAGGAGGAGGAGGAGGGAGGAGGAGGAGGAGGAGGAGGAGGCGGAGGAGGAGGAGGAGGAGGAGGAGGAGGAGGAAGAGAGGAGGAGGAGGAGGGGAGGAGGAGGAGGAGGAGGAGGAGGAGGAGGAGGAGGAGGAGGAGGAGGAGGAGGAGGAGGAGGAGGAGGAGGAGGAGGAGGAGGAGGAGGAGAGGAGGAGGAGGAGGAGGAGGAGGAGGAGAGAGGAGGAGGAGGAGGAGGAGGGGAGGAGGAGGAGGAGGAGGAGGAGGAGGAAGAGAGGGAGGAGGGGGAGGAGGAGGAGGAGGAGGAGGAGGAGGAGGAGGAGGAGGAGGAGGGAGGAGGCTCGTCTCGGGGGATGGGCCCTGCAGCGCGGCCTTCAGATTGTCATGAGCGCTGCCCGGCTTCTGCTGGTGCTCTCCATCATCGGCGACTGCGCCCGCATGCACGTCATGGGGGAGGCTCCTGTCAGGAGGAAAAGAAACACACAGACACAATTAATCCTCGATTCCCTAGAAAACATGGGAAAATATGGGAAGTGGGGGGGAAGACAGAAACCCAGAACATATGGGAAAATGTGGGGAATCTTTTTATTTGTGTGTCCTGGGGCCCCTTCATCTTGTTTCTGGACGCCCGAAGTGGGTACGGAAAGAAGGGGTACAATGCCCAACAGCAGCTCTTGCTCATTTTGAACAGGATTCGCGGTCCACGCCGCCGCGGCCGGTGTCCATTCGAGACAGGAGGCCGCCTGCCCAACAGCGGCCGCCGTTGGTCTGGGACAACATTTGTTGTTGGGCATTGTGCCCACTCTTTCCGTCCAAATTGTTGGCGACCATGCGCGCCACATCTGCTTACTCTGGGGGTGAAGGAGGACCGAGCAGGAGCACGAGCAGCAGCAGCAGGAACAGCCAGGAAAGCGGCAGCAGCGCCCGAGTGCGAGGGGCAAGCGTGTCGAGCAGACTTCGCGAGCAATGGATCTGGCTCCTAATGCCCACGTGCTCTGCTCAGAGTAGTCGTCTGTATTGGATCGGAGACGCATGTGCCATGTCTGCTCCCCGACCTTGCTTAGACGCTTGTGTGATTGAAGATGGGTGAAAATTCGGTCAAGGCGGAAGCCTTTCGGTTTCCAGGGAGGTGCAACTTGGGTGCATGTTGCTAGGACTGATACGGTAGCTGTGGGACAGTGTAATGAGCGAGCTGTTGCCGCAACGGATGGGGTTCCAAAGATGGAGCAGGAAACCCGTCCGATGCAATTCTGGATTTCTGTCGGAGCTAGTTCTTGGCCACCTTGGGCAGTCTTCGAGACAACTTCGGGTAGCCGGTGGCGTTTCTGAATCTCGAGAGGGCGTGATTGACCATCTTGTACTGTCGGGACTGTCTTGAAGGCAATCGTGATCAATATTGGATTGCCCTGGGTCATCTGGAAGGCTCTGTTTGGGCATTTGAGAAGCCAGTGCCGCCGCACAACAGATCATCTGAGATTGACGTCGCACGAGGAACTCGCAACCAAATGCAATGAGTTAAGAGCGGAAGAGTGGCTTTGGGCATCGCGCGGCGTTCCTTTCGGCCTCTTGGAGCTTTCTAGTGGTTCCTCGATGCCCGGGGGATCAGGACGAGGAGGGTCTGTGTGCGTCGTTCTGGCTTGTGTGAGGTCTGAAGAGAGAAGGACAGGGGAGGTGATGGGAGGGGCGGAGGCGATGACTGGAGGGAAGAGGAGAGGGACTTAAAGAGTAGTAGATAATCAGAGAGACAAAGTGTGGATACATCCTGGCAGCTTGGTGGACCCATGCTTGTCTGCGAAAAGGGGCTCGTCTCTGCTTGTGCGAGCGGCATGCTGTCCATGCCCGCTGCTGTCTGGCAAGTTGAGGTCCAATTGCTCTGAATTAGTTTCAGGAGACGATGGGTAATGGTTAGGAGGAACGGGGCGAGGAGTGAGATCCTCCATGCAACGCAGCCGGGTGATGTGTGCGCCATGGCATCGAGCAATGGCCGCTTCGTGCAGTTCGCATTTAATTGGTCGTAGCGGCCAGGCCATGAGCTCATGCTTCAAAGTAACGAAGACGTGTTCTTGGTGATGCGCGGCGCAGAGGCGTGACACACGCAGGACAGATGAGACCATGCTGTTATCATTGGGGTTTCAAGTGTCGTTAACAATGGGATTGATCGTGCTGTTACCATTGGGGGGTAAACCAGAATCACATACGATACCTCTTGTTGTACCCCCCGTGCTTCCTCCTCAGCGCTTCAGGACAGCGGAGCCAATCACGTTCTCATCCTCGTTCTCCTCTTCCTCCCGACCACCAGCAGCAGCAGCAGCAGCATCATTATCAGCATCATCATCATCATCATAATTTTCAGCATCATCATGATATGTGCCCCTGGGCTCGACGGCATTCTGCCGCTTAAAGGTTTGGAGAGCATCCTTGCTCTCATCGTCCCAGGCCGAACCCTTCTAGGCGCAATCGCCCACGGCTCCAGCTTAAGCGAGGACGTGATGTTGCCGAAGGGCGCCTTGCCCGCCGCTGAGGCGTCAATTTTCAAGCAGCCCTCTTACACGCGCCCGACCACCCTGAGCGACACCTCTGACACATACATTTCCGTTCACAGAGCACGCCCAGGTCAGCGTAGCACCTTTTCAGCGCTGGTAGGGGCATCCGTTCCTGCATGGACAATATTCTAAACGCTTCGCGTATCCCAACCAGGTTCATTTTGTTCCGTGCACGTGCACCTGCGTGCTTCCTCGCAGGAACGAGTTTCGCCCGCCACTGCGGCGGCAATCTTCTCGTCAATTCGTAGGTACCGCGCCCCGGATTTACTTGTCCGCTCCCTGTCCGCCGCCTCGGAGCCGCCAACCAAAAAAGTATCCCAACCAGTTTGCCTTCGCCGCCGGACCCTTGTCTCGCGGCCGCGACCAAAAAGTATCCCAACCAGTCAGGCAATTAGGTTCGCGCGTATCCCGCCCGTCCCTTCTTGACGCCGCCTGCGCCTTCGCTTGCGGCTGCGACAAAAAAAGCGTATCCCCACCAGTCCAGCCAGAAACGATGTCCAGGCGAGTTGAGGTGATCAGGGAAGTGCGGGAGCACAGAGGGGGACGGCCGAACCGTGCGAAGGAGGGAGGAGGAGAAAGAGGAGGCTGGATGGATGGATGGATGAGGGATGGATGAGGGAGTGGGGAGACGGAGGATGCATAGGATGATGATGATGATGATGATGATGATGATGATGCTGATGCTGATGCTGATGATGATGATGATGATGATGATGATGATGATGATGATGAGGAGGAGGAGGAGGAGGAGGAGGAGGAGGAGGAGGTGGAGGATGAGGAGGAGGAAAAAGAGAAGGAGTAGGAGGAGGAAGGAGGAGCAGGAGGAGGAGGGTAAGCAAAAGGGCCAGAGGTCTCTCTGATGCCCCTCGGAGCCTCTTGGGGTATCTCTTGGGCGCTTCTTGGTGGCCTCCTGGGACGTCTTGGACGGTCCTGGGGGGCTCTTTGGCGTCTTGCGTGCCTCGGGGGACCTGTTGGGGCCGCTTGGGGTCCTCTTGGGGGCCTCCTGGGGGTCTCTTGGGGCCATCTTGGGGCTATCTTGGGGCCTCGTGGGACCTCCTGGGCGCTTCTTGGGGCCATCTTGGAGGCCAAAACCCCGTCCAGGTCTAGGGGAGGGGGTAGGGGGGAGGGGTAAACCCTTCCCCGAAGGGGAAGACGGGGGGTGGAAGAGGAACATCCCTAGACCATGTACGCCCAGAGGGCATGTGGGATTATGTCACGAAGCATGGGGGCTGCATATGACGGTGCACGGCCTTTGCATTCAAACAAGCAGGGTACGCCATTGTTGCCATAACGGTTGCTCCCTCCCAGGCGAGGATATTGTTCGTAGTCGTAGTGCAGCTTTTGCCCGTCAATCCGTACTGGATGCTGCAGATGCTCGTCATACGAGCTTTAATGTCGTATGCCAGATTCAGTGTTCGGAGGCGGCATTATGTTGGTTACCCGATGCGTCGTAGAAGAGTCGTCGGCCCGTTCCACAATGCGTCGCCCGCTGATTCATCAGGGTGCGAGTCTGTCTGCCTATGCTGGCCATCTTGGGCTTGCTGGTACAAATATGCGTGATGGTCTATCTGGAGTTCTGCGATCATCCCTGCAGGTGGGAAGCAGTCGTGGCCTTCTCATGAGTTAAGAGACGTGCGTGCTTGTATTCTTGGAAGACGTCCGCCACTCTCCCCGACGGGGTCATTCAGAGTTTTCGGAGGCTTCGGGGGAATCGTGATTTGGTTGCCCACGATGGGCCCGGCGCAACCCGTGGCGAGCTACCGAGGGCGCAGCGTATGGAATGCAGGCGCTCGGGAGAAGTCGCGATTGGGTGGTCCGCTTGGGGTCGGTCGCAGCCGCCTCCGTACCAGTTATGGCGCAGCACACGGAATGTTCACAGGCGGGGGGTGCGACTGTTTTCAAAGTCACTTACAGTGTTCCCTACATCGTGAAATGTGTGAAGGTTGTTTCAGATGTCAGCTAAGCAGCGACTGCTGCAAGGGTTCTTCAAACTGTTTAAGGGCAGGGCACACGCATCATGCATCGGCCGAGTCGGTGGTCCGCGACCCCAATAGAATGCAGACGCACTGGAATTTGAAGCCGTCAACTGCAATCGTCGAGCAATCCTCCGACACCCACCCGCAACTTGCATTCAACACGCAAGAGGCCGTGAGTGGAGTTATTCATCGGAATGTGTTAGCAAGGCCCTGCCGGCGCAACGACGCGCGGACCCCTCTCATGCAGATCCATGACTTGGTCGGGCGAGTCCCAATGATGCAAGGGGCGATCCGACATATTTTCAATCGACAAGGTCTGGCACGTGTGTGCCTGAAAAGCTGAAACCTGATCGGACAGGAACGGGAAGCGCCGCTGTAGTCTAATGGGCGTATTGGGCGAAGAAGACAAGGAAGGCGAGGACAACGAGGAGTCGATGACGAGGACGACGTGGCGAACGTGAGGATGGCGAGGAGGAGCATAGAGGAAGAGAAGCACAAGGACGAGGACGAAGAGAACGAGGGCGAGTACGAGGAATGCAATCGACAAGGTCTGGCACGTGTGTGCCCGAAAAGCTGAGGTCCGTCAAGTGGCGCGGCCGTGTGGCCCGGAGTGTGCTCTCTGTCAGGAGCCTGGCATCGCTCGGACATGTTTATTTTTTCTTGGCGAGAACCATCGAGGACCATCCTCGACCAACGAGCAAAAAAGACACGCACGAAACCGAAAGATGCACGGGAAATCGACGTCCGAGCGACGGCGAGAGGAGTGACGGGGTACATGTACCTGCGATGATGTTCACAAGTTTGCAGTTGTGTGTTGAGTGCTTTTGACATGCGCGCGGGCGTAGCGCGCAGAAATCTGACGCAGGTTGCATCCAAAGTAAACCTGAGCTTCATATGTGCTTCAAGAGCTCTGCTTCGACATGCTCAAACGACACATGGTTTTGCAATGGTTCTGGCATGCGCGCGCTGGGGACGCGCGTGTGTGACACGCATGTTTCAGTTTGGCAGGGAAGCTACCACACGCGGTCATTAGATCAACGCGTGTTCAGTGCATTGCGTTATT